CGACTTGCAAGCGCAGCTTGAGAGACGCGGAAGCGCTGGGAGCAGAGAGAGACGAGCGGGAAAGAGTGCGAGGAGGGTAGAAGAGCTCGAGGCTAGACTGGAGGCGTTGGGCGGGCGAGAGGGGAGCGATGTTGAGGGGGACCCGGGTGTGGGAGGACGAAAGCGAGCGAGGGAGGAAGATGGACAAACGGCAGCCGATGGGAAGAGACAGAGGGTCGGATAACCGCCAGGTGTCCCCCATCATCCTTGCACTATTCGTCTGTCCCCTTTTCCCCTATTGCTCTTGGTCCTCTTGAACTTGTTGTACCAACACACCTTTTCCCCTCCGCTTGTTCCGCAGGGCCTTCGACCAGTACAGTGTACAGCGGCCTCTTTCTTTCCCTCTTCTCTTTTGGTACACGTCTTCCAGGGGTTGGCCTCGTCAAGGCTTGTAAATAATCGACTCGTAACTCTCACTATTTTGTCTACATATGTGCTCCGCTGTGCTGAATGTGCCATTTCCATTGTTCGATCTGCTACCCACTGCCCTCCTCCTCCTCTTCGATGGTCTCCAACGAGTACTGCTTATGAACTACCCGGTTTGGGTTTCCTTTGTTGGGCTTCTCACCCGGGGGCGCACCTCGCCACGAGGTTATTGCCTTCTGTTACTCTGCTAATTTCTCCTGTTTCTTCATAGCTTTTGGCGACGAGAGTATATTCTCCTGTTGGGCTTTGCCAGCGTCTTGAGGAAGAGGATGAGGCGAATATAAACCTTGGAGGAACAAGAGGAGAATGATGCCAAGATGATTCTTGAGGAGCAGGAGGAAAATGAGGCCTAGGAGAAGAATGCGGCCTAGGAGACTGAAGCCTAGGAGGCGGAGGCGGAGAACTGATCCGCCTCGGAGTCGGACTTTATTTCCTCCACAAGATCGTTTCGAGCCTGCTTAAGCTGCTTTTGGGCCGGGCTCTCTCGCTTAGCGGCTTCCGCTTCTGGCTTAGCGGCTTCCGCTTCTCGCTGAGCGGCGCTGCTTTAGCCTGTTGTATCTGCAGAGCCCATTCATCACCGGTAACCTTACGGCGAGCTGGGACGACGGGTGTCCAGTGGGGTACATTCGGTGGATTGCGGTCCTCCATCCCCTTCCGGGCTGTGTCGAGAGAAGGTTATCAATGATTCTTCTTGTTATGGGATAGATGTACAGAAGGCTTGCCTTGACTCCTATCCGAAGAAGGTTCGACGGGATAGGCAAAGGCGGTGAAGGCGGTGAAGGCGATGAAGGCGATGAAGGCGATGAAGGCGATGAAGGCGATGAGCAGAGCGTGCGTGAGGCGCATGTTACTTCGTTCCAGACGAAGGACAACACTTGTCAACTTTGGATGTGGGAAAGCAAGAAGGAGAGAGCGAGACCAGCTCAGGAACGACACAGAGCTTGTTCAGTCCTTGTGCCTATTACATGATCTTGATGAAACTGCTTCTAAGTGTCCTACAATTTATGATTGAAACGAAACACGATCAGGGGTGGTTACTATTGAATCTGCGGCAGTGCGGGAGCCTAGGAGGCTCTAACCCATATCCCCTGAATACATGCAACTTGCAGCACACATGATATATATTGACTAAAGTGCTAGCAACTGCACAGGTGGGGTACCGACAAGGAAAGCTAGGACGGCCAACCAAGGATGGGTTGGGGACCCTGAGCAGAAGTAGGCAGACGTAATCTAGCCTGTTTCTCCTTACGTTTCTTCTCCTCACAAATCCCTTCCGCGCACTTGGACTTCTGCTTCAATCGAAGCGCTTCCCCCGGCGAATCCTTCCACTTCTTCACCACATCCTTCTCCTTCACCCCCCCCTTACCATTGATTATGTGCTTTTTGAGCAAATCGGATGACAAGTTTTTGATTGCCTCCTGGTCCTGGTCCTTGGGCTGCTGTTCCCCCAATTGGGCTGGGTAGTTTGCTTCCTGTTCCTCGCGCTTCTCACTGATTGCTTTCCGCTGCTTGACAGCAGCTTCCAATCGAGTCTGTCTCTTCATTCTGAGCACGGAATTTCCTATACTGAGTTTATCCTCATTTCGGTCCGTCACGCCCGACACAGGCAATGTTGCTGAACGCTCTCGTCCGGGCGAGGTAGCCAGTTCCTCATTTCGGTCGGTTACGTGCTGCACAGGAGATGATCCTGAACGATGAGGTCGTTGGGGAAAGACAGGCAGTGCTTGCTGAGGTCGTTGGGGAGAGACAGCCAGTGCTTGCTGAGGTCGTGCGTCATTGGTCGCCTGACGATGCGGTTCAGGTGATGCGTTGGCTTGGGGTTCACGGGATGGCTCAGGTTGTCTAGCGTTTTGCATTTGGAGCCTGGCTTCATGCAGATGTCCTCCTTCAGCATTACGGGTTCCCGGACGATACGGTTCAGGTGATGCGTTGGCTTCGGGGTCACGGGATGGCTTAGGTTGTGTACCTTCATGCAGATGTGCTCCTTCAGCATTACGGGTTCCCGGCCGATACGGTTCAGGTAATGCGTTGGCTTGGGGTTTACGGGATGGGTTAGGTTGTCTAGCGTTTTGCCTTTGGAGGTCATGCGGATGTGCTCCCTGAGCATTACGGGTTCCCGGACGACGCGGTTCAGGTGATACGTTGGCTTGGGGTTTACGGGATTGTCTAGCGTTTTGCCTTTGGAGGTCGGATTCATGCGGATGTGCTCCCTGAGCATTACGGGTTCCCGGACGACGCGGTTC